CACTACCGTATGTACAAGCTTAGCATCCATATGGTTTGAGCATTCCATTCTCGAAAGGACGATAAGAGGTTTCTTTCTTTTAGAATTTGTTCAACTCAGAGACAAACCTGATCGCTGAATGATATCACCGTTAAATCTTGCAAGACTCTTTTCCTTTTCTGTAACTTTACTTAAGTGTCAATATGACGCTCATTCGGTGTTCAAAAGCCCAACGTGGTTTCCTTTTCGCGAGGAATGTTACTTGATATTACTACAAATTAGAATTCATTAAGTAGATTCTCGAAAAGTGGGGAGGGTAAACATGCTAGATTCAGCAACTGTTTTAAAATTGCGTGGTTATAAGCGTTAATCTCTCTTCATTGATTTTGCCTGTGTCACTCACCTTGGCGCTGGCGCAGGTTATTGCTGGGGATTTTGAATTTTCAATTGCAGAGCAATCTCAATCACAGGGTTTCAATCTTTGGTTCTTGAAACCAAACTGATTTTAGGAGCTTCAAAAGAAAGTGAGCCTTTAGAATTGCTTTCTATTTCAAAGGCTCACACTCGTCAATCTTCATTTTATGAGCATCCCAATTCACTTCCCTTTCTGGAAGACAAATTGAAGAGTTGTTATCAGGTGGTTCTTGTATTTGCTTTCGTTTGTATATCCGTCTTACACTTATTATATCATTTTCATTACCTATTAATGTGGCTTCGCTCAGTTTTCATTTGAGAATGTAGTGAACTACGCTGTGTCGATTGTGTTCGCTTTCCATCATATTGGAGTGACGATGAACAAGATCACTTTTGTAACAGAAGCAGTGATTTTTCTTCTAGATCATGTCATCCTCATCATCATCTTCTGAAGACGAAAAAAAGTCAAAAAAGGAGAAGAAATCAGAGGAAAAGAAGTCAAAAAATGAGAAGAAATCAGAGGAAAAGAAGTCAAAAAATGAGAAGAAATTAGAGGAAAAGAAGTCAGAGAAGGATAACTTGAATAATGACTCGAAAAAGGAAGCAAAAAGGGTAAGTTTGTTGTAAGCATGTTCTCCTTAACGAGTTTGATATGTTCTTCCCATTCAGCCAAAGAAGCGCCAGGTAGAGAGTGACTCGTCTTCAGACGAAGGTGTGGTAGACGCAACACCTGTGAAGAAGTCCAAGAATGGCGGCAATCGTGTCAAAAATGCCGATGGAGAAGAGGTTGGGGTTTTTTTCTGAATTATCATAGCACATGCCAGATTCAATACTACGATGGGCTAAGCTAGCTGTTGAGGCATACACTCTATTTAAGAGGATTAATTTGTGGGCGTATCTATCTAGCTCCTAACGAACTTCGCCCAGGGAAGATGTCATGACACTTCGCGAAGGAAAGACAAGCAAAGAAGGATGAGTAAATGACGGGTGACGGCATGAACGATGAAGAATAGGGGTTTTTGAAGGCACGTCAGAACATCAAAACGATCTAGTAGTACAGGGTTGGGCAAAAAAAAGAGACACTACACTCACATTTCAGACAGCATTAATCACACTTTGCTAAACTCAACCGACTGCTCCCAACTTAATATTGAAGAGCACATCCCAATCTATCAATAAACGTTATAATAGCTTTCTGCACCAAGGACATCACAAGAATTTGCCATGGGAACCTTGCGCACGGTTCGAGCTGGAATTGGACGGGTCATAGAGCCATTATGACGTTATCTGAAACGCTGGTCGAAAGGGGTCTTGCATATTCAGAGCTACTGTCCCTAGGAAGCAATCTGTCAGTGATTGAAGAAATTTCGTAGCAGCTTCAGGCTGGAACGATTACGGTAGGCCTTCTTGAGCTCAACGGTGATGGAAGATGACGTCATATTTTGAGGACGGTGAGGGCAGTGGAGGAGGGCCTGCTTCTACTCAGGATTTCTAAGGGATATTCTTCCATGAAAGTTTTCACCAACAGCGGCACTTCTGCGAAGAACAGTTTGATGATATGCGCCATGTCTTTTTTTGGCCACCTCTGTATATACTGGCTGTGCCAACTGCGCGAGAACAGGGGAGCACTGCTCGTCTGTTCCGCACGACGCAGTCTGTCCACTTTGTGTACATAAACTCCGGACTAGAGTTTCAGTAAAATAAAGGTAGACTCTCTTAGGTTTCCCCCTTTCATCTTCTTAATCCTCAGTTGAGTTGAGTAAAGAGGCCAAGGTGATGCCAGCTTAGCTAATAAAGTTTAATCCTGTAATTAATTAATCTCATACTAGTATAATGCAACTTGTGCGCGGCGTTGTCATGTTGTTACTTCTCAGATGATCGAAGTGGGAAGCATGCGATATGTGACGGTTAGAAATTTCAGAGGAAAGATGCTTATTGATATCCGTGAATACTACTTAGATAAAGTTTGTGGCTTTTGTCTTAACATTTGTGACCTTTTTCTTACCTTCTATTTCATTATTACGTTCAGCTTTTATTGTGTAGTCAGGCTCAAGTGTCGGCTGGTCGTCTTCATGTAGAAAGGTATTAGTCTCTAGTAAGGAACAGGACGGAGAATTTCAAGCTGCGATGGCGAAATCGATGGCTAAAATCTTGAAAGAGTTTCCAAACATTTGGTCCATCAGGCGTTGCTATTTAAGTTGAGTGGTATTTTACCTCTTGTTGAGTGAACACGCATTGTGACTAACAGACAGTTTCCTGTTTATCACGTAATTGATCGCATAAAGGCGCCTTGTTGTGTGAATATTTGCTTCAAGTTTTGAGGCATCCGGGTGGGGTTGCAATATTTTACTGCCTCTCCCAATGCCGTCGGCATATCATGGCTTTTCTGGCCCATCCGCATGTATTCGATTAAAAATTCTCACCAGGTGACTGGCGAGATACCCAATGTCTTCCAATGATGACGGCCGTAGTCGAAGTTTCGAACAGGTTATGGAGTGTGAAGATGACTTCAGAAAGCAAACGGTAGGTTGATCGTTTTTGTTCACTCAGACCTTTCATGCATTAAATTCTTTTCTCAAGATTTTTCTTACATTTAACTTTATTTTGATCATGTTATGAAGTAAACCGGGTTGAACTTGCAAAGAAGGTTCTAGCGCGTGGTCGTATTGCCGGAGCTTAGTGATAACGGTCTTGATGTGTGTTTCTGTTGTGAACAGTCCCGAATCTTCTGTCTTTGAATTTATTTGTTGTCCTGCCCAGAGCTGCTCGAGAAAGCATTTATGTGTGCAAAAATAATGTGAGCAGGGACAAATATTGCATGTTAAAACTGCGTACTGCAAACTGTTATGAAGCAACTGTTAAAATATTGTACTGCGTTACTTGGGAAAACGTCACAAACTGGAACTCCGCTAGGAAGGCAAGCGACATTATGAAAAATCGTGCGGTAAAACCGAAGAGGCTAAAGGGGGAAGAACCTGTTTGAAGTAATGTTACCTAAAAAATGCAAACATGACGAAGTTAACCGCTGGGTTATGATAGGGATGATTTGGGAAGAGAAAAGTTACTTTTACCGAGAAGCGAAGAAGCTTCGATGTGAGCCCATCTCTATTATAACTCGCTTTCATGACTCAGTCTTCTTCAGCGCTCTCGTGTAGTGAAGAATTGTCAAGTCGCTTGCTATTTTCCCTCGACCCATCCAGAAAAACTCATATAGTTGTTTTTTTTATCAATATCCTCATAACAACTGATTCCTTGATCAGTGTTACTTGCACAAATGGTATATTCTCACACAATTTGTGGCAAGTTGTTGTGAAGTTGTTTTGTTCAGGAACGAAATCGTGCTGTGGACAGCCCCTTGGGCCACCTAGATCCATCCCGAATAACTCACATGGTCGTTGATCAAGTTGGTCTTGGAGGTCCAGCTGTTCATCCGGATAATGACGGTTTTGTAGTACCCGGCCCACCCTATCAGGTCAAGTTTCTTCCGAAGTATATATTTTTTGGAACTTTTAAATAAAACGTTCAAATTGCTCAGTGTCGAATTCAAAAATTCCCTCATGCAATTAGTACCTTTTACTCTTTTGTCGTTTAAGACGACTGTCAGTTCAACTGTCTCTTTTTGAAAGAAATGGTGTGCTTTTCGATGTGATAGTTATGGTCTTCTCAGAGGAGAAACGGTTTTCTTCCGAAATCACAACTTTGGAGAGTTAGGATTGTTACCAGTGCATTTCAGAGGAAACTTTCTGATGCCATAGAAAATTTCGGCAATTTCCTTGAACAGTTGAATATATGTTTTTATCAGTCTTATTGCAATGAACTACATACATTTATGTATTACCCGATATTTTGGGGTAGCTTAATTCTTACAGCAATGGTCACGTTCCTCACCTGTTGCAAGTCCGTCTGTTATGTCTTCGCCTTCTAAAGGTGTGTTTTCATCACCTTTCTCTTTTTGTATAATGTAATATTTTGAATGTGTTTTACCGTTCCGTTATGTTCAATAACTGTGTTGAGATTTCATATTATAGCGTATATTTTCAAAATAATCATCATTTTGAATAGAACTAGGGGGAGGAGAGCGGTTGTTCCGGCGTTGCTGGTAATGTAGTTACCGAAACTGAACGACTGTGACACGAAGCTTTCTCCCATCTTTTGATGATGAGGACAGGTTCAAGGGAGTCGTCGAAAAATGTTGGAATACGACCCCCCTCCAAAAAGGCGAGAGTCCATGGAAAACGACTTATATGCCGAGTGCTGAAAAGGTTGTCATGCACCCATTTCCCCGAATACTCGTTATTCAAAAGAGTATGCTGATACCCACCGTCCGCCCTAAAAGTCGTCATTGGAAGTGACAAAATGCATGTCAGTGACAGAAAAAGTAAGTATAAAAGTAGAAAAAAATATTGTCAATGAATTCCAAGGAAAACGAAGCAGAAAACTACGAAGTGGTCGTGAAAATAGCATATTATGATAGCAACTCTTCCTTTACTTCCTTTAAAAGGCTCACCAAGCCTCAACTATACATTGGGTATGCTCTCAGTAACGTCCAAATTGCAGCTGAGAGAAGCCTTGTAACCGCTTTATCCAGTTGATGATCTTTTGCGTTGGCCTTGGAGTAGTTTATCTTATATAGCTTATTACTATTGAAATTTGAACAAATATTCAAATGATTATAACTTTCTTCAAAGTTAACGAATTTTCAATCTGAAAGCAGATTTGGGAGTTTTGTGAAGAGCTCTTTCTAATCAGTGCTAAAATTACAGAAATTAATGAAATAACAGTTTAGATTGATTAACGAAGGAAAATTCATGACGGGTGCGAGTTTTACAGTTTCCAGAGCCATAGCTTCCTTCATAGTCGTTAGTCGTTCTTTCTTTCATAGAAGTTAATATGGCATCTAGAGGATTTGCTCTACTCAGCAGTTTTCTGAGTGACTTGATTCATTCGATTTTTGAAAAAATGGCCACGTTGAGGATTTTTGCAAAATTAACGAGGAAAATTCGTGATGAGTGCGAGTTTTTACACTTTCCAAAGCCATAACTCCGTTCATTTTCATCAAATCTGAAAAGTTAATACGTCATCAAAACTAGAAGATTTGCTCTATCAAACGGTTACTAGAACTGCTAATACGTCCAGTATTTAAAAAATGGCCACGTTGAGGATTTTTGCCCGAGTACCGCCGAAAGGTACTTTTTCGCTGCATTGGCACTATTTCAACGACTATAGCTCCTTTCAGGGGGATTTTGTACAAAAGTGGGAGCAGATTCGGAATCAGATTCCTCTTGGTTTCTTCTGAATTAAAATGTTTACATTAGAGGGTTGTTGTTTTTCTGTCGTTGCGCAACTGACTGGGCCCACTGAGGGAGTGTACGCCGTGTGCTTCACATCCCTTCATGATTGGTGGACTCACTTGAAAGATAAAATATCCGGAAAACGTGCGAATTTCGGATTCTTCAACCTTGTCGTGATAAAACACTGAAGTAACTAAGAATTACTACGCGGACACCTTTTCACGAAAATTTTGTGTGGGCGGAATAACATTGTTATTGGAAATCCTCTGGCCTGGGCATCGATTCGATCCTTGATGTTTGTCCTCCGACGGTGATGATCCTACTGCATCAATCGGCCCGATCTCTTCCCCCAGCGGGCCAATACGACCCCCCCCTGTTGACATGTCGAGGATTCCTCAACGCACGCTTGACCCTGGATGAGAGAGACTATTATTTGCACGGAAACAAAGCATTCAAAATCAAGGTGGTGCAAGGGTCAACTGACTCGTGGTTAAGGCCTTCATGTAGGAACGAGTTCCAAAATGT